TACATAACAACCCAGCCTAGAGTACATAACAACCCAGCCTAGAGTACATAACAACCCAGCCTAGAGTACATAACAACCCAGCTTAGAGTACATAACAACCCAGCTTAGAGTACATAACAACCCAGCCTAGAGTACATAACAACCCAGCCTAGAGTACATAAAAAAAATAATCACCAAAAAACTCTCACACCTCAACAAAGCCTATTTACACCAGTGAGTAGCAGAAGGTTCGCCCTCTGCAATATGGTATCTTCAGGCCACCAAGTTAGACAGGTTAAATATCCCAAAAAGGTATCGACAGAGAAATAGCAGTTGAGTTATAGAGACTATGTCTAAGTTACAGATGCAACTGGGAGATTGGTGAACCCCGACAGAGAGAATGCATCTCTGCCAAACAATTACAGAAAAGCCACTACTTCACTATCTCCTGTAATGTGAAGGAACCAATGACCTTAGAAGAGCTTTGAATGAATGAATGAATGAATGATTGATATACAGGAGAAGATGCCCATGGGGTGGGCCTTGAAGTGGGGATAGCTGAAGAGAAGTCGGTGAGAGGAATTGAAGAGAAAGTGCCAGGGCTTGACCCAGCTGCGTGTCAAAATGTCGATGCTACAAACAACCCAACATCTGGCTAGGCTGGGAGACGGGTCTGGAAGGCGGCAGTGGCAGTACTTCTTCATTCAAGGTAGAGACAATCTGTCTTCGGTGGTGTCTTCTTTCTTCTTTCACTAAATTTTCTTGCATTTTGTTTCTATATTGAGCTTCTTCTTTCTTCTATTTTTTCATGCTTCGTGTAGTCATTTGATGTTTCTTGTACTCTGGGTAGTCACTGAAAAAGAGTTCGGGTGCCAGTGTAGTAGATTCATCGCACTGTGTGAAGAATATTTCGTTATCGAGACTGAAACTATTTCCTGGATATTTCTGACATAATTCTTTATGCCTCGTGTTATACAGTTGGTTGGAGATCCGTCTGTATTCGGGAGAACCGAATGCTTTGGTGTCACGTTGTAGCACTAATGCCTCTATTGCTGGAGAATCAGGTTCCTCATCATCCAGGGTCGGGAATTGTGGAAGTCCTATAATGTCGATAGAGGCAGTAGAGTCGTCCTCAGGAGACAGGTGGAGGTCTGCAGAAGCATCAGGTGTGGGTGACGATGAAGCTGGTGTAGTCACAGGTTCAACTGGAGTAGTAGGTGGTTGGTCTTGGGTGGCAGTGTGCAAAGATGTTGCAGGAGCTGTAGCAGGTTGCAAAGGGAGGGCGTCACCAGACAGGATATATGCCAGTGTAATTAGAGAGCTGGTGATGTCAGGGGCAGAAGTATTATTTGTAGCTGAGGTCGCAGCACTGGCGGTGGCTGAGTCTGTGGCTTTGAAGAGTTCTTCAGGAACAGTAAATGTTGGTAGACCATTGTCAGCGTACATGATGTTTAGAATTCGTACGAATTCTTTGGTGTTTGTGCCTGCAATCCTTTCAGCGGTGCGGATGAGTCCCATTATGGCACTGTGATTCCTGTTGGGGAGCAGCATCTGGTGATGGCTGGCTTCTTGATTGACCAGAGTGAGGTTGTGGCTGTCGCAGCTGCGTCGATGATTGGTTGGCGGACTGGGAGCCAGGGCCCCAATGGCATGCAGACTGTGCAGAAGCTCCGCCTCCACCCAGAAGCAGAGGAAAGTTGGCGGCTTGCACGTTGAATGTTGACGGATCTCGTCGAGTGGTGTTGGCTTGCCTGGCGTCGGTCATCTTCTGTATTTCTTCACGTCTTCGAGGACACTCAGCAGAGACGGCAGTATGGTGACCTTGGCGGAGAAGGCATTGGAGGAAGTCATTGGTGCATTGTTTGAAGTGGTGATTCTCGGCGCACTTGCTTCACCGTTGGTCCTGAGATGGGCATTGTTTCGTAAAGTGCTCATAGCTTTAAAACATTTAAAACATTTTTAAAACATTTAAAACATTGTCGAAGCTGGTCGCAGTGTTCTTTGCTGATTTGTCGGGGTGGGCAAGCGAGGCCGAAGCACCGGAAGCCGTTGGTGGTAGCAGAGGTAGCATCCTCAGGCGAGGTGAAGTTGACCTTCACTGAGGAGAGGTGGCTGTCCTGCACAGGGATGAATTTTACAGTGACAGCAGTCAAGGAAGGGTTATCTTCGGTTATACAGGTAGCGACGTCGATGGCAGCTTTTTCGGAGATGAGGGAGCTCACTCTCCTTACAAAAACAGTCCTGGCTGCGAGGTAGTGTCGTGGTGGGGTGAGGAACATGTGCGCCTCCTAGAGAACAGTAAGGTTGATGGGGTCAAATAGACGTTGTACGGCCTCGGCACTGCTGAACAGCAGTTGAGGGAGTCCTTCATCATCGACAACGACGTCCAGTGGTGCAACGTTGATTGTTGTTCTGATGCTGTCCGAGATTTCTGACCGGGTAAGGGTCCGGTCCCCTCTAAATCGTACATTGATTCGGTAGATCATGGTGGCTCTTGTCGTTGCTGCTCAATGTTTACCCACCCGTCAGTGCTAGGTGCAAGAGAGCCTCATCTAGAGGGTTGTACTTTCCTTAAGAGGTCTCCCGTCTCTTACCGGTATAATGCACCGGATCAGGGTGGGGTCTGACTTCCTAAAGCAAAGTACTCTGTTTTTGAAGAGCTTTAAGAGTCCGTAAATCTTGTAGTAACCACCCTGAAGCCATCAACACTGCCACTCTTCTGGTCAAAAAGGTGTCCAGCAGTTGGACACCCTCATAAATACTGTTAAGCAGTATCCTCCCCTGCGATAGTAGCCACATAGTAAGGACTGCCGATTTAAATGCGAGCTCAGCACATAGTATATCAGTTCACAACCAAAGATCACATTAACTCCAAAATATCTACCACATACATAATTCTTGCCTGTGCCACATGGCTTAATCTTCATCAATCAATCAATTCTGTCACATTACTTGAGAATTAATGTTGTAGGTTCAAAACGTTGTGTAAATTTATAATAAGTGTAATACATTCTTCCATAATTTATCTTTTATTCAAGCTCGAACAAATATGACATGTGGATCATTCCTTTTCCAATTAAACCATGATGCAAGAGTCCTAGTCAGAGGGATAGAAGCATTAAACAAGAAAAAAATCAACATCGAATATGCAGTCATATTCAATTAAATATATATATATATATATATATATATATATATATATATATATATATATATATATATATATATATATATATATATATATATATATATATATATATATATATATAAATAGTTGTATATATAGTTTATATATAGTTGTGTATTAATCAACAGCCAATTAATGCACAACTATATTCTACCCACTTCAAGACTCCGCTCCAATATAGAAGCATCAAGAAATATGGGCCAATAGGCCCTCCGCAATTACTTCCATTCTTACCTTCAATATCCATTGTTTCGTGTTCTGTCTTGTGTTGAAAGTTTGTTTTCACCTCATCCAAAACTTTTGTAACATATCACCTCACCCAAATGCAGGTATAAAAAATCGAAGATGTTTAAGCTCTATTCAGTTATAGTTCAGTTGTGTGTGTGTAAACTAAAGACTTTGAAAATGTAATAAGTTTTACGAAACGCGCTCAAGTGTCGCGTCAGACTAGAAATAAAAATTAATTTTGGAGAATTGATTTTTCAGTTACCATCAACAGTGAAAAGAAACATAAGAAAGATCGAGAAAATTCGTGTTAGAATTATTAATCTTACTTTTTCGGGCATATTTAATAATATATGTATATATATATATTTATATATATATATATATATATATATATATATATATATATATATATATATATATATATATATATATATATATATATATATATATATGTCGTACCTAGTAGCCAGAACGCACTTCTCAGCCTACTATGCAAGGCCCGATTTGCCTAATAAGCCAAGTTTTCATGAATTAATGTTTTTTCGACTACCTAACCTACCTAACCTAACCTAACCTACCTTTTTCGGCTACCTTACCCAACCTAACCTATGAAGATAGGTTAGGTTAGGTTAGGTAGGGTTGGTTAGGTTCGGTCATATATCTACGTTAATTTTAACTATAATAAAACAAAATTGACCTCATACATAATGAAATGGGTAACTTTATCATTTCATAAGAAAAAAATTAGATAAAATATATTAATTCATGAAAACTTGGCTTATTAGGCAAATCGGGCCTTGCATAGTAGGCTGAGAAGTGCGTTCTGGCTACTAGGTACGACATATATATATATATATATATATATATATATATATATATATATATATATATATATATATATCATGCTACAAGCTTGAATGGTCCCCTAGCCAATATGCTATAGAAAAATCCTCACCCCAAAAGGATTCGAAAACAGACTGGCAGGGTTTCATGCACCTTAGCATGTCCAGTACTTTATCCACTAGGCCACCCTGAGTGTCCAGTACTTTATCCACTAGGCCACCCTGAGTGTCCAGTACTTTATCCACTAGGCCACCCTGAGTGTCCAGTACTTTATCCACTAGGCCACCCTGAGTGTCCAGTACTTTATCCACTAGGCCACCCTGAGTGTCCAGTACTTTATCCGCTAGGCCACCCTGAGTGTCCAGTACTTTATCCACTAGGCCACCCTGAGTGTCCAGTACTTTATCCACTAGGCCACCCTGAGTGTCCAGTACTTTATCCACTAGGCCACCCTGAGTGTTCAAAAGAACTGGAAGTCGTTAGACCATTAACCTAATTCTCCATACATATATATGTATACACATATACATATTTATTTATTTATTTGTTTATTTATATATTTATTTGTTTATTTATTTATAAGAATAATGTAACGGCAATTTTTTTTCTGAGGGAAGACGATTTTAATATGACCTTAACTATATACTATGTAGACGTACGTGTGACGCTCAGCAGAGCAGCGGTGTTCATAGATGACATGTGGGCACCTTGACGCACCTTACCCTTAGTGAGGAAAGTGTTACTATGCTGAAAGAGAACATACCTGAAGTGGAGGTCGTGGTTCTGGACGGCCTCAGCGAACCACAGGGAGTCCTCGTCAGAGACATCTTCAATAAGGACATCCACAACCTACACAACACAAACGTCAGGAATGAAGGCTGGTGTGGTATTGTTCCTTAATACAAGTCTCAATACAAATGTCATTTTAATTAGAATAAAACTTTATTTCTTAGAAATTAGTTTTCCATTTCGTTACACTTTAGTTCATTGTTATTTTGCCAGTCCGTTCTCAGAGCCCGTCAAAACATCTGGATAGTTATCTAGATATTTTTGATGGTCTGAAAGTATATTATGGTTCCAGTAATAGTGTACTTATAAATAAAGGAGGGCCAACCTGTGACAGTCATATGCCCCACATGTGTCATATTGAAAAGTTGGTTGAAGCTAGACCCAAGCATCTGGCCTCCAGCCTTGGGCTAACTAAGAAACATACTTTCTCTTTAATTTATATAAATGTGGGGCCCAATATTATAACATGCAGCACCACGACCATGAAACCTGCACATCAGGCACCACAAATCCTTACTTTGAAAGTGGTTACGAGTGTGACAATAAAAGTGCTTGAATTAAGAATACTAATGTATGAAAGTAGGTTAAGTTAACTCACTGACACAATCGTGAGGGAGAGACGGAACAGATGGACCATTATCAATACAAGGAAGTTACTGTGGAGAATAGACAAAGTGAACAACGACAGCATTTTGAGAGAAATGAGAGACAGGAACAGGAAATTAGAGAAATCAGGACAAGAGGATATAGCTGGAAGTTGTAAAGGCAAGTGAGTGGAAGAAATGTAAGAAAATACTCGTACCCTGTACACTGAAAGAAGAAATATTGGAAACTACTGAGCCTTCATCCACAATTTTAAGACCAAATACGACAAAGAACTCGTCGTGCTGTTAACGCCTTTGAGTCCCTGATATATACGAACATTTATATATGAACTTTATTTTACTACAGTAAAGTATATATTGCAATTAAGTAATTTGGAGTAATGTTCACATTCTTTCCTAATATATTTCTTTAGCAGTACATGAACATTCTAAAGTACCTGGCGCCGGTCCTCGGGGAAAGAAATACGATGCTTTAATGTGTGGATGGCTTGTTCGAGGTTATAACGGATGCACATACGAGAAAAGGCACAGTTGATGCATTAGAAGAAGGGCTATCAGAAGAGTGTGGTGACCCTGGACCCTGGTGTCCAGGGTCACCACACAAGGACCACAGAGACACCTCGCAGCTGCACCTAGAACATCCATGACCAAATTTCCAACACATATTGCAGAGGCGAGGAGAGGGGATGAACTCCTAAAAGGGGCATCAGGCACCTGCAAGAATGGCGGAAGACGAAAGTGTCTTCACTTTCCCTCGTCCCCTGGTCAGTTTGATGACCAGCAGAGATCATCAAAAGTGATCTTGACAATACAAAGGGGTTGATGACGACGACTTCGAGGACAGAAAACCCTGAGCCTCAAGGATGTATTTAATATCCTCATAGCAGTCATTGAGGTCTCCATCTCCAGCTACAACATGGTGCAGGAGAACAAGAGTGCCAATGCTGGCGTTCAACAGGGTATTTTACGGCACCCCGAACTTGGGTGGCACCAGTTCAGGAGAAGGTAACTAGGCAGACAGTTGTTTCCTGAGGAAGGGCTACAACTTCACGAGTGCCAGTCCAGGTGGGGTTAAAAGTTATTTGGGAATCCACAGAGTCAATAAAGTGCTGATGGACAATCACATAATCAGCGAGAGTATGTTGAGTGTGACAAAGGTCAAAGAATTTAGGCAATGTAGAGAGACCGAACAAATCCTGGAACGTAGCAGAGTCTCGGCCAGTCTCAAACGCTGTCACTCAATATATTTGTTTCAACCCGTCCTCGACTTGAGTCCATTACATCCAGCGGTCGACCCCACAGACGCATTCGTAAATTTTAACATGCTGTTCATTCAAAACGGGATTTTTTCAAATATAAATTAATATTATAATCTATTAGCATATTGTGCACATATAGGCATAGGTTAGGTTAGGTGTTTAGGTTCTGTTGGCGATTATTTGCATTTGTAATACGTGGGTGAAGCATTTATAGCGTTGTGGTTCGAACAAAATTCGTCAGTGAGGAACTTGTTCCGGAAGTGTTCGAACCAAATCAGTTGTGAGTCGTGTGTAAACCGTTTTTTATTCATAAACAGGGGGGGGGGGGGGGGTTGGTGGGCGCATGGAATCATTTTTGGGTCTTTGTTTGGAGAACGGGCTTATTTGTTTAAACTTTTCTGCTTAAACTTTTCTTGTTCAACTTTTTGATCAAGATCTTGTTCAAAGTTCTTATTACATGCAAGTGAAACTTCTTTTAATTTTGAACAATTCAAACCTCGTCATTTTGCTGCCATTAAAACATACAGTCCATCATAAAAAATCGTCAAATCCACTTTTTTGATAATTTGCTGACAAACCCCCTGTTTATGAATGTAAAACTTTACATATTACTCACAACTCATTACGTTCAAACTTTCTCAAGCTGTGCTTCGCTCACTAACCATGTTCGAACCGCACTTCCATTAATGTTTCAACCACATAGTATAAATACAAATAATTGCTAACACAAATCTGAAAACCTAACCTAACCACGGTCTAACTATATACACAATTCTAAAATATATAATAAATTAATTTATTTTTAAGGAAATGCCGACGTTAATAACAAGGTGCGCTAAAACCGTCCCTGGGGTCGGCCACAGCTTCAGAAGAGCACAGCTGGAAGCTAGGCTAAAAATGTACACATTCTGCATTCCCTAAAGATAAGGTGTTGCCTAAGCAATAAAAATAAAGCCTAGATTTTGGTGCTCTGACTGATACATAATACGTTAAGGTTTACCGGGGAGTATGGATGAAGAACATGCTATGTTTTCCGTTTGTAGGAAACGTGTGTCTTTCAGTGACGTCACAGTGAGCTCCCGCATGGCGTACAGTCTAAAGCTAAATATAGTAATTTGATTTGTCATAGTGATGCTGGGTGTACCTGGAGCTTGAGGTCACAAGCAGTGTTGGCGGAGATGACGAGTGTTGCGGTGAGGGCCATCTGGGACTCCCGGCCGTGGGTGGCCAGGGCCCTGCTCGTCACCTGGCCCTGGTACTCGTACTGGTACTGCTGGCCGGCCTCGAACACTCCCTCTCCTGCTCATACCAAACAAGTTAATGATGCCTTCTAGGAGTCGAGGAGCCTCGCTGCCACTTGTGCGACAGTGAGGCTCATACAAGCGAGGCTTACATTTTATAAACACAAAATTACTTGATTTATTTGATTGAATTTGAATATTTTGTTTCATTCACATATTTTACAAATTTCAATGGTTATTCATCATTCACTGGAGTTTAATTATAGAATTGGTCTTCAAACAAACGGTCGAGCCACTGCCTGGTGTCCTAAGGTGACATATACTGTCAGAGGAGATGACTTCAGCGTCGTATAGTTAGCATCTTCTGAAAGTTATACCAGAAATACATTACCTCCTGGACCCTCCTGGACCTGTACAAGCTTCACCATGCTTGTGGAACATTGTACTCACCAGCATGGGTGACATGAGTAGTGGAACTTGTGGAACATTGTACTCACCAGCATGGGTGACATGAGTAGTGGAACTTGTGGAACATTGTACTCACCAGCATGGGTGACATGAGTAGTGGAGCTTGTGGAACATTGTACTCACCAGCATGGGTGACATGAGTAGTGGAACTTGTGGAACATTGTACTCACCAGCATGGGTGACATGAGTAGTGGAACTTGTGGAACATTGTACTCACCAGCATGGGTGACATGAGTAGTGGAACTTGTGGAACATTGTACTCACCAGCATGGGTGACATGAGTAGTGGAACTTGTGGAACATTGTACTCACCAGCATGGGTGACATGAGTAGTGGAACTTGTGGAACATTGTACTCACCAGCATGGGTGACATGAGTAGTGGAACTTGTGGAACATTGTACTCACCAGCATGGGTGACATGAGTAGTGGAACTTGTGGAACATTGTACTCACCAGCATGGGTGACATGAGTAGTGGAACTTGTGGAACATTGTACTCACCAGCATGGGTGACATGAGTAGTGGAACTTGTGGAACATTGTACTCACCAGCATGGGTGACATGAGTAGTGGAACTTGTGGAACATTGTACTCACCAGAATGGGTGACATGAGTAGTGGAACTTGTGGAACATTGTACTCACCAGCATGGGTGACATGAGTAGTGGAACTTGTGGAACATTGTACTCACCAGCATGGGTGACATGAGTAGTGGAACTTGTGGAACATTTTACTCACCAGCATGGGTGACATGAGTAGTGGAACTTGTGGAACATTGTACTCACCAGCATGGGTGACATGAGTAGTGGAACTTGTGGAACATTGTACTCACCAGCATGGGTGACATGAGTAGTGGAACTTGTGGAACATTGTACTCACCAGCATGGGTGACATGAGTAGTGGAACTTGTGGAACATTGTACTCACCAGCATGGGTGACATGAGTAGTGGAACTTGTGGAACATTGTACTCACCAGCATGGGTGACATGAGTAGTGGAACTTGTGGAACATTGTACTCACCAGCATGGGTGACATGAGTAGTGGAACTTGTGGAACATTTTACTCACCAGCATGGGTGACATGAGTAGTGGAACTTGTGGAACATTGTACTCACCAGCATGGGTGACATGAGTAGTGGAACTTGTGGAACATTGTACTCACCAGCATGGGTGACATGAGTAGTGGAACTTGTGGAACATTGTACTCACCAGCATGGGTGACATGAGTAGTGGAACTTGTGGAACATTGTACTCACCAGCATGGCGGCACACCATAGCGCACACTGGGCCTTCAGCTGAAAAATAGAGTTATCCAATTGTTTATTACTAGCAGTATCCAGCCACGCGTTGTTGTGGCACAGTAACGCATGTGCGTTGCTGAGCCACAGCAACCTTCCCTGTCCCCCACTCCTCCCAACCATTCCTCACTCCACCATCCCCTCTTCCTTCCCACCATGCCCCACTCGTCTGTCCCTTTGTCCTCCCACCATTCTCCATTCCCCCATCCCCTCGTCCCCACCATCACAAACTCCCCCGTCACCTCGTCCTTCCCCACCATTACCCCCTCCCTTGTCTCCTCGTCCTCCCCACCATTCCCCACTCCCTCGTCCGATGCCTTCCCAAATGGTCTGATGTTCCCATCAGAAAATTGGGAACATCAAGTGACCTGATGTTCCATCACTGAAATATAAGAAAAACAGTTAAAAATTAAATGAAAATAAAAAAAAATAAAAAAATAAACTATACTCACGAAGTGAACGGTATGGTAAACAAAAATTCCATATTTTCCTATTTTCGTCTGTGTTGTGTTGGTGAGGGAAAATGGCTCAAGTGCTTCATGAGCCTTTCGGAACTTTCCTTTTGGGTTATGTCTGCTGAATATTAATCACTTTGAGCCAGAGAATAAGACGGTGCCCACCCCATCCTCCCTTGGTGTTGTGTGGGGGCCGGAATGTAGGGGACGTTATATCTTCTCAAATCAGTAACTGTCCCATCACAAATTCCCATTTCTTACTAATGCTATATAGTCAAAATGGCCTAGAGCTTTCTCCTGATAATTACCGCTCCAAGCAACAGCCTGGTGGACCAAACTCTCACAAGTCAAGTCTGGCCCTCAAGCCGGGCTTGGGGAGTAAAAGAACTCCCAGAACCCCATCAACCAGGTATCAACCAGGTAAACCTTGCTTTAACTGCCCCCTCCCCTATCGCACAGCCCATTTATGTTGAGCGTTGTTCAAGTAATCAGAGAAACCATCGTACTGGAAGGAGAATAATAATTACTACATCCACTGATCTATCACCCTATCGCAAACATTCTCCTCCACAGAACCCTTCTCAGGGGCCCACCCCTCACTGTCTGCACCATGGAACCCCAAGGCTCCCGTCCACCTCACAATTCCCCTGCAGGATCCTTTCACAGCACTTTCCTCATTGAATCACTCGGTAGGTGACCACTGTCACCTACCACCACCTCACCAATCTCCCACCTACTGTCACCTACCACCACCTCACCAATCTCCCACCTACTGTCACCTACCACCACCTCACCAATCTCCCACCTACTGTCACCTACCACCACCTCACCAATCTCGCACCCACTGTCACCTACCACCACCTCACCAATCTCCCACCTACCGTCACCTACCACCACCCCACCAATCTCCCACCTACCGTCACCTACCACCACCCCACCAATCTCCCACCTACCGTCACCTACCACCACCCCACCAATCTCCCACCTACCGTCACCTACCACCACCCCACCAATCTCCCACCTACCGTCACCTACCACCACCCCACCAATCTCCCACCTACCGTCACCTACCACCACCCCACCAATCTCCCACCTACCGTCACCTACCACCATCCCACCAATCTCCCACCTACCGTCACCTACCACCACCCCACCAATCTCCCACCTACCGTCACCTACCACCACCCCACCAATCTCCCACCTACCGTCACCTACCACCACCCCACCAATCTCCCACCTACCGTCACCTACCACCACCTCACCAATCTCCCACCTACCGTCACCTACCACCACCTCACCAATCTCCCACCTACTGTCACCTACCACCACCTCACCAATCTCCCACCTACCGTCACCTACCACCACTCCACCAATCTCCCACCTACCGTCAACTACCATCACCTCACCAATCTCCCACCTACTGTCACCTACCACCACCTCACCAATCTCCCACCTACTGTCACCTACCACCACCTCACCAATCTCCCACCTACCGTCACCTACCACCACCCCACCAATCTCCCACCTACCGTCACCTACCACCACCTCACCAATCTCCCACCTACTGTCACCTACCACCACCTCACCAATCTCCCACCTACTGTCACCTACCACCACCTCACCAATCTCCCACCTACCGTCACCTACCACCACTCCACCAATCTCCCACCTACTGTCAACTACCACCACCTCACCAATCTCCCACCTACTGTCACCTACCACCACCTCACCAATCTCCCACCTACTGTCACCTACCACCACCTCACCAATCTCCCACCTACTGTCACCTACCACCACCTCACCAATCTCCCACCTACTGTCACCTACCACCACCCCACCAATCTCCTTCACCGCACACACCACTATCAGCAGGCACTATGACAGTGAGGGGACCAAAGATGGTGATAGTAGTAGTAAGATACAGCAATCCGTTAAATGACAGAAGACCTTGTCAGGAGCATGATAGAAACTACAGATGAGTCCCCGTGTTGTAGTGGTAAGACACTCGCCTGGCGTTTCACAAAGCGCTTTGGCCTGGGTTCGTATTCTGGCCGGGGAGGATTTACTGATCGCCAATCCTTAACTGTAGCCTCTGTTTACCCAACAGTAAAATGGGTACCTGGTTGCTAAATGATTTGACGGGTCATATTCCGGGAATGTTAGGATTAAGGACTTACTCGAAATGCTATGCTTGCTAGTGGCTGTACAAGAATGTAAGATATACTCTATACTCAACAGCATGAATGTATATATACTCTTGTATATATAAATAAAAACAAAAACAAAAACATGGCAACATCACTTTAATAGAGAGAGCAGTTTCTGTTTCCTGCAAGACGGTATCCAGACTGTTAATGATGGGTGACTTCAACCATGGAAAAGGTAGACTGGGTAAATAAGTCACCACATGGGGGTACAAACACATGGGGAACTAAAATATTAAACGTGGCAACAAGAAACGTTTTAAGCCAATATGTCTAAGGACCGAATAATGAGAGGAAATGACGTACCAGCCAGCCTTGATCTAATATTCTACTTTGAGCGAGTCAGACATAAGGGAAGTCAAATTAGAACCTTCCCATGGTAATAAGTAGCCACAGAGTGTCTAGTGGAAGTAGGAATAACCTACCTAAGAAATCGTTCTTAGAAAAAAAAGAACAGGTGATGAAACTGAGAAAGAGAGAGGATGGGTACACAGAGAATGTTAAGGTGTGTGAAGAACTCAACAAATTTCAGGAGTTCTTCAGAACATAACAAGGAGAAGTCCCCTAAACTAGAAGCGCCTTGCATGCCACTCACTATGGAGTATAGTAAGTCACTAGAAACAGGGGACCTACTAGAAAGTTAAAAGACAACTAATATAGTCCCAATATACAAAAAAGTTGACAATTAGGAGGCAATAAACTACATGCCGATGTCCTTAACTTGTATACCATATAATGGTATACAAGTTGATGGAGAAGATCGTGAGAAAAAAGCTTGTAGCGCATCTGGAGAGAAGGGACTTTGTGACACATCACCACCAGCATGGGTTCATGAATGGCAAATCATGCCTCACAGATTTAATAGAATTTTATGATCGGGCAAAACACATTAAGCAAGAAAGAGAAGGGTAGGCAGACTGCATTTTCCTGGACTGACAGAAATAGTCCCCCATAGACAGCTGCTGCGTAAGTTGTAGAAACAGGCAAGAGTAACAAGTCAGGTGCCCCGTTGTATAACGGACTACCAAGCAACAAAACAGAGATACTGTGGGGGGAGAAATCTCATAACACAGACATGTCACAAGCGAAGTACGACAGATCTATCTTGTTTCAGATATATGTGAATGATCTTCCAGAGGGTATAGACTCATTCCTTTTTTATGTTTGCTGACGATGCTATAGTCATGAGAAGAATTAAGACAGAGGAGAACAGCAGGATGCTACAAGATGACCTGGACTGATTGAATGAATGAATGAATGGTCCTATAAATGGCTACTAGAGTTTAACACGAGTATGAGAAAAGAAATGAAATAGGTATAGGGAGCACGAGGCCAAACAAGGTATAAATTGGGAGATGAAATTCTTCAGGAATCAGGAAGGAAGAAAGATCTGGGGGTTGATATTACACCGGGCTTGGTCTCTGAAGCCCACATCGAACTGATATCATCAGCGGTGTATGCCAGGCTGGCAAACATAAGAACTGCCTATAGAAACTTGGGTAACTAATCATTCAGAACCTTGTATGCCTCATATGTCAAACCAATCTTGGTGCATGCGGCTCCAGCGTTGAGTCCATATTTAGTCGAACACAAGCCGAAGTTAGAAAAAGTTTAGAGGTATGCCCCGCATGCACGGAGCCTGACGACTGAGTGAACAGTGCTCGGGCTTTGTAGTCCTAAGGTTCCGGGTTCGATCCTCGGCGGAGGCAGAAACAAATGGGCCGAGTTTCTTTCACCCTGATGCGTCTGTTCACCTAGCAGGAAATAGGTACCTGGGAGTTAGACAGCTGGTAAAGGCTGCTTCCTGGGGATGTGGAACAAAAAAGGAGGCCTGGTCGAGAATCGGGCCGTTTGGACGCTAAGCCTCAAAATCATCTCAAGATAACCTCAAGATGCCAATAGAATAGTCCCCGAACTGAGAGGCATGAACTGCGAGAAAAGACTACTGGAATTAAACCTCATAGCACTGAAAGACAGAAGAGTTGAAGGAGACATGATTATTATCTACCATATTATCAGAGAAATTTATAGGGCAGATAATGACAAGTTATTTAACATGGGTGGTACACAAACAAAGGAATGCAGGTTGAAACTTAGTATCCAAATGAGTCACAGAGGCGTTGAAAGAATTTGTTTCAGTGTCCAGAGTAATTAACAAATTAAATAAATGCATTAGGAAGTGATGTAGTGGAGGCAGATTTCCTGCACAGTTTTAAATGTAGACATGAAAAATTCCAACAGGATCAGGGACCTGTACAATAGTTGATTGATAATAGAGAGGCGGGCCAACGAGCCGAAGCTTAACCCATACAAACACAATTCAGCGAATACAGATAGC